AATCAGGCACGTTATTGTGTCCTTCTTAGACTACCTTTCATCTCTGTCGTATACTATCCAAAAGTTCAGAAACAGCACTGAGATAAAATAGAAACTAAATAGTATGGTTTAACGCCCCTGAAAATACTATAAGGTTATAATTTAAAAGTCGAGCTCCCGAATTTAAAGTCCATATTCGATAGGACCGACACAATCAGAAGTGGAAATAATCGAAAATGTAAAGCTCTGCTGACGATATTCTCCTTACTCAGGGCATCCTGACTTTTTTTTTTCAACACGTCAACCGTTCTGGAAATCCACCTCCATACGCTCACAAGCTCCATAACCAAAGGTCTGTTCTGTTATCTCAATAGTTTCAATAAGCCAAATATGCATTTTTAAGCGGTTAAGAAACAACATTTCAACCTACAATTAGATCTGCCTAGTAAAGCTTCGACCTCCAACTGTACTAAACCTTCGATTCCCCGTTCCCCAGGAGCTGAGCTGGAAATGAAAGTGACCCCAAAGGTCATTGAGCCAGACTTCACAACGTCTTTCACTCTCAACTGCGCCCTGCTCGAGAATGAGGATGCCAAAGTGGTATCTCTTTCTATTGTGAGGTAAGCAAATCAAGCAAGATATAAAACTGCCCTGGGCAACAAAGTGTGCATATATGAATATATTATATAATATACATATATATATATGTATGTGTGTGTGTGTGTGTGTGTGTGTGTGTGTGTGTCTGGATGCGTTTGTGAGACTTTCTCACTCCTCTCTCTCTCTCAGTTAACAGATGTCTTAATAAATGAATACCTTTTCATCCGGTCTGTATGTTTTTGGCTTTTGTTTGAGCGTACAGAAAGGGGGGGGGGAGGGGGGTAGCTTTATAGACCTCTCTCGGTAACTATGACCCTTTAGATAAAGCCTTAAACCATGGACGTATAACAGGAAAACATCTCCAAAATGTAACTTCTAAATCTTTTGTTTCAATTTACGGTTTGTCATACATAATCATTTTTTTAGTAGACTTCATCTGGTTTAGGCTCAATTTGTCTATTATTGTGTACACTCCAACAAAGTTATAATTCAACAACGACAGCAACGAAAACAACAACAATAATAATAATAACAACAACAACATCAACAACAACACAAAATCAAGGGAAACAGAAACAGTCGAAGTTACTGCAAAATTGATACCATAAAAAGACGGCTGTCCAACATAGTAACGATATTTAAGGAAGAATTACTTCTTTCTGTCAGACGTACAAATGCCCTGGGCAATCTTCAAACCGGAGCGTCTGAGCGTATTGCTACCCTGATCTCGCTCACCCCAACCACACCCACCCTGTACCCTGGTTTTGAACTGCTCACAACGATTGGTCAGATTACATCTTTCGAGGTATGTATGTGTTTGCTGTCCTTTTTTTTTTTTTGGATGAACGTACATTTTGACTCCCCCTTCATAACACAAGTCCATATCACCTTTTGGGTATGGCGTCATGGCCACTGAAGTGCATACTAGGTCAAGTAAGCTGCAAATGAGGGGATAAAGTTTACTTTTACTTGTTATTTTTCTTGAGCCGATTTGCTATTTATGCTTTGTTAAATCATTCTGCGAAACACAGTCAGCAGCGTTAATATCACATTGAGCAGAAGTGTGGGTAATCTTGGTTCGATACCTTAACCGGGCGTCTTGGAATTTAGAGTGAGGGGTTTTCGCTTCTTTCTACACACTTGGCTTTGTTGTATCACAGAGGGACGTTCCAATCTGAGATTGAGTCTCTTAAATGACATACTTTGTGTAAAGGAGAGTCGAACCGTTTCCTTACTATACTGACCCAAATGGTCATGCCTTGCCTTGCTGTTTACTTTTGTGAGTTGTTTTAATCATCATCATCCTCCGGTGCCTTGCCGACTGGCGTGGGCGATTATGGACCCCCACTTCACTCTGTCTTGCGTTGCAGCAATGGTGTCTGTTGTTCTTGCTGCTCCCAGCCATGTTCTCAACTTGTCCAGTATCTTTTCCCTCTGTCGGCCTCTGCCTCTCTTTCCATCAAACTTGCCTGTTGTTATAATATTCTCCAATGCTTCTTTCCGCATTGTGTGTCCAATGAAATTTGCCTGCCACTTTCGTATATTCGTCATAAGCTGTAGTCTGCAACTTGTTTCAACCAAGACGTCTTCATTAATTTGTTTTTCTAGCTGTCCACGGGATACGCAGCATGCGTCTAATGAACAACAACTCTGTCGTCTCAATTGTTCTTTCCAGCTGTCTATTGGTTGTTCATGCTTTGCACCCGTATAATAGGATTGGCTCGATGTAACTTTTCTGTACTCTTTTTTCTTGTTTTATTACCTTACGACATGTACTGTTATTAAAGAGATGGCAAGTGTCGTAGATGAAATATTGCCAACGGGGTACAAAGAAGAGATTGAACTTTCCAAGGGGACTCAACATTATAGGAATATAAGGTGTTCTAGGAGTGACGTTTTGCTTTTAAACAATTTTATTAATTGATTTACGATCAACTGGAAAGCTCTTGAATCCATTTATTAGTATTGATCCACGCTTCCACCCTCGCCACCCCCAAAGAGCCGACCCCAATATGGCTGGGATTATAATAAGAGTTTTATGTCACTGGCAAAGCATTTTGTATAAGGACTAAAGATTAGAGTATTGCAAGAGAATAACAAACACAAAACGAAGGAGGAAAGAATAGGAAGATGGATGTTTGATAGGAAAGAAGGAGCATACCTCACCAGAGCGCTTGCCAACCACTTACTCAAAAGTCTTTAATGAATACGCTACCAGCACCAACGATATCATTCTCTTCCACCAACCGCCGATAAATAAAGCAAAAATAAAACTCAATTATATAACACGCCGATGCTACTTTGTGTGAAGTCTCATTGTGCAAGCGAATGTTCTCACAACTTAACCATTTCGGGGAATACTCTTAATCCAAAACCTGCCCTTATAAAATGTAGGCATTTTGCACCCCCATCAACACAGTTAAGACCATTTTGGAGACGGACTTCCAACCCTGACTGTCAGGGCCAATCGGGCTTAGAGGGATACAACGTTCCAAAAGAAAGACCGAGATACTTGGAAAAAATTCTCCAAACTCGGGAATAGACCACGGGTTTCCTAAGAGCGACAGGGAAGCTTCTAACCGCTACAGCAGAGATGCCCATGTCCATTTCTGTAGGTTGCGTGTATAATACGGGATGAATTTCTAATATTTTTTTTTTTTGGGGGGGGGGGGGGGTCAACATGTATAAAATCAAGTGCTAGCCTTGATTCAAATATAATGTCCTACCTTTAAGAACTGCTAGGCGTTGCATTGCTATTGATTTAACTTGTGAGACTGGAGTGGCATGTGCTCCGATCGAGACATCACTATAAATTTGCATGACATGTCCAGATTTTTAATAATTAGGTCATTGTTCAAAGGAAAATATTCTATTCGCCTTTACTTTTCCTTTTATGGGCCCAATCAATCCTTGCTGTATGTCACGCATATACGCCGGAAATAAAGGGGGGGGGGTACTTTTGGGGACCTCATTTTTTTTAAAAAGAAGAAAAAAAAAATCACTCGTATTATAGACGAGTGTATACGGTACTTTGCGACACATGATGAAGATGATAACAATGACAATCAGGGGCAGCGAGAGGAAGAAGAGGAAGAGGAAGAGGAGGAAAAGGAAAAGAAGGAAGGCGACGAGGGCGAAGAAAAGGCCGACAACGATAGCGACGATGGAGTGAGTGATGAAAGCGATGACGAGAACGAACACAGCAATGAGGAAGACAATAGTGAGGAAGAAGACGACAGTGACAGCGACGACGAAAACGAAGATGATAACGCTTTCGACGACAGTTCTAAAAACGTAAAGGTGGGTACAACTTTAACAGCTGAATCGAAAACAAGTGAACATGAATGTGATGAAAAATGCGCCTCTCTTGTTCATCCCACGTCTTTCCAGACTGAACTGGGCTCCTATTTGAAGTTGGTCTGGCCATCTCCTTCCATAGACGAACTTGGACTGTACACGTGTGAGGCAGTAGTCATCGGAGCCAACGGGCAGCTGGCCACTCTTGTTGCCCAAGCCAGAGTTACAACTGCAGGTATGTTTAAACCGTTGAATGAACAAACTGATGAATGAATCAAATCTGTTCATCTGTCTATCTGTCTAACTCTTTGAACTATTTCCGATTCTCCCCTGATTTCGGTGGAAAACAATTTAGACATAACCAAAAACACATTCGATCAAAGCGTTGCACACTAATAAATGCACTGTTCAGTTAGTTTGGAATACCGTTTCATTTTCATCCACAAGTGTAACACACCGTCTCCCAAGTATAACTGTTAGGCTTCACGCTGTTGCACCCAGAAGGAGCCAGTTTGATTCATGTGTGGGGGAGTTTTTTTCGAGTATCGAAGCCTGTCTCCTGGATCTTTCTCCGCCTAGGTTGGCCTAGATAAGCAGGGTTGAAGCAGCGTGCCTATTAAATGATGTAATATGTGTTGATGGGTGCGTAAACGTTATACAGTTACAAAACATAATCTTATAACATGTCTTTCCACCCCGAGCCTTAAATATGGACTGATTACTTATTGAAACTGTTTACAAACGTTGTGCTCAGTTGCCTTTTGGGGGGGGGGGGGAGTGGGGGTGCTTAATAAAGGCAGAGCTAACAGAGGGACATAAAAGACTAGAGTAAAACACACACACACACACACACAAACATACCCAAACACACACATACACACACACACACACACACACACACACACACACACAGAGAGAGAGAGAGAGAGAGAGAGAGAGAGAGAGAGAGAGAGAGAGAGAGAGAGAGAGAGAGAGAGAGAGAGAGAGAGAGAGAGAGAGAGAGAGAGAGAGAGAGAGAGAGAGAGAGAGAGAGAGAGAGAGAGAGAGAGAATATTCAGCTGGCCATTCTTGGCTAAGACACATCCTACAGTAAAATATTGTTCCACCTTACTTTTTTTCACCGCCCGTTTGTACTTATTCAACTAATTAACCTACTTGTTGTCCACCCCAGAGACCTATCAGAGACAGTATATGATCTTATGCCGTTGTGAGCGCGGTAAAACACTTAACCCCCCAAAAGAGGGAAAAGAAGAGACCCATTAGAGACCAATAATTTAGGAAAGGAACTGCTCAGTTTTACTCTCTCCGTATGGATGAAGAGAGTACATTTGGGCCTATTTAACAGAAAGGCCTTTTTCAGCACAATGATTGAATACGTGGGGCAGGTTAATTAACGTGGTTGAAACTCAAGGGTGTCACGTTGTCACTTGTATGCTAATAAGGTCGAAACTGCTTGATTGATGAGGTAGCCACACGCAAAGTGTAACTTAAGAACAATGGAAATACGCAGAAGCGCCTCTTGAGAAATCTTATCAATTCCTATTCTTTTGCCTCGAACTACATTACTTGTAGGGTTTTTTAAACGCGGAGCACCGAATTCCAACTCGATCATTGAGCCAAGAGTAAAAACTCTACATTTTTAGTCTCAGTTTTCAACCACAGTTGTCCCCCCCCCCCCCCCCCCCACTTCTGTTTTGCTGCTTTTTCAGAGAGTAAGAGTACAATACAAAACTAAATAAGAAAAATTAAATAGATATTACTCCCTGTAAATAGATAAGTAAACAAAAGTTTAAAAAGAAAAGGCTACCAAAATAAACATAGCAGCAACAACAACAACATGAATACAACCCTGCCACCCCACCAGCACCATTTCCCCCCAAACAAACAAACAAACAAACACACAAACACACAAGCAAACAAATAAACACACGCAGAAAGCAACCAAACAAACAAAAAAAAGACCGAAAGAAAAAAAGAACAACAAAGTTTTCTTCTTTAGAAACCCATCAGCCTCCCCACATCCGCACAGTTTACTCTCTCTATTTTCTCCTTTCTGTCTGACCATTGGTGTGATTCCTGCACGTACAATTAAATTCACCTGCTAGGTTAGCTTCCTGTTGTTGGTTTGGTTTTTAAGCACCGTTCTGTCTGTGACTGTGAGTGAGCAGACTTATTGTCTGTCTCATCTCCCAAACGACCTCTGTTCCACAGACTAACTTTCTCTCTAGTTTCATCAAAAACTGTTGTCGCATTTCAATTCTATCTTTATTTATAACAATACTATTACGCTGTCCACATTGAGACACATTTATGGAAGTCAAAGCACAGCACGTCAGATGTACAACCAAGCTTAGATCAATGTATTGAATTCTCTTGACAGGCTTCTGTAGTGGAGCATTGAAAAGTATTCCTCTGTTAAATCTATATGTTATGTAAGTATAATATAATATTATGGTTATTTTTATATATGATATGTAGTATTATTGAAATATAAAATGAGATCGATCGATAGATTGATCTAGATGTAGATAGACATATAGATATGCTATAGATCTAAATACATTTGACTTGATATTCTGCTGTCAACGTTCGTAACTTTGATAAACCTTCTGTTGAAGTAATTCAGCTCACACATCTTGATTTGGAAATCTTGTTTCAGAAATACATTTTCTTTCATTTTGTTGAAATTGATGAGTAAAAATATACTAACCTAAGCCCGTCAGACTCTCCGCCCTCCTCATTCCTGTTGTTTTTTTCTAAATGTATTATAATATATATATATAATATATATTTTACACAGACCCTGTAACAGATCGCCTGCTGGTATCACTAGACAAGCTTGAGAAGTCCATGTTGGACATTAACAGCACCGTGGTGGAACTGCAAGGGAGGGTGGATAATATCACAGCAGGTATTTTTTGGCGCGCTTATTATTCTCTCTCTCTCTCTCTCTCTCTCTCTCTCTCTCTCTCTCTCTCTCTCTCTCTCTCTCTCTCTCTCTCTCTCTCTCTCTCTGCCTATCTATCTCTTTGTGTGTGTGTTTTTGTGTGTTTATGTATGCGTGTGTCTTTTTCTGTTCTGCTTTCTCTTTTTTCTGCATGTGCAAATGTGTTTAGGTGTAGAAACATCTGTGTGTGTAAGTTTTTTTTGCTTTTGTATGTCTGTATTATATAGATACGGAGTATTCGTCCTACTTGTCAAAGGCAATATGTCAAAAATTGTTTGTCGAAGCTATACTCTCTTTGCGTCTTCTCATCACAAAAATAATATATTTAACAACAGAAAACCGAAATTTTGGTCGCCGACATATGGGGTGGAGAAAACGCACAAGTAAAATTTCCTCCTTACGTCACTTTTACACTTCCAATTTTCACACCATGGTCTTGTGAGTTACATTTCCACACACCTGTCACACTTGCTCGATTTGTACCTTCTTTTTCTTCTCTGAGCGTACGTAAACATAAAACTAAGAGCATCAGAGTAAAATGAACAAAGAGAACGCCTTTTTGTAGACTTCATATTATGCATCTTAGTCAGCAAGTGCCCTACCCAGTCAAACAAGAACAGGAACCTCCCAACAGCAGTAACGCAAATGATCTTCAGCTAGAATAACTGTTGACAAACATGTCGACCTTCTATGCTCGAACCTCGAAGCATCTCCAGTCATCATGCTTGTTATAATGCTTAAAAAAGCTTTTCATTCTACCCCATTATTGCAAGAGCGTTTTTGCCGAGACAGTATTGTTAGTTCTTGTTTCAGTTAAGTGAATTGTACTTTAAAAAAATTATTGGACGTGCCCTTTAACCCTTTGAGCACGCGGCCAGAGCTCTTTTGAGCTGTAGCGTATAGGCGGGCAGTCTTGTGGTTAGGTTACCGGACTTGTAATTGTGAGCCTGTGGGTTCAAAAGTTCGATGCTCAGCGTGGCCCGGTGTTGTGTCCTTGGGAAAAGCACTATTCACGATTTTTCCCATTTGGTTTGTCCTATGGGAGGTGATCGTTATATTCGGAGGTCCTGCCTTTTAAATGACTTTGCCGTGTTGCTAAGGGTGTTTCCTATACAGTTTCGATTTTTTTTTACCTTTGCTTGACTAATAGATTTACATCACAGAGTAAGCTAAGGCGTTTGTTCGTTGCACATAAGAGTCAGGTGTGAACTCTAGTCTTAAGGTTACGTGCAAGTAGACCATCGAATCCCTTAAGAAGAAGGGGAAAATTCGTTTAAGCTGTCCTGTTTCTTTAATATTTTCGGTAGCCTTTCTTCTGTTATGTCTATACCCCAAAAAAAGAAAGAAATTAGTGAGAAAAATAGACACTGGACGACTCAGTCTGGGAAACAGACTTATCAACTGTTTCTCGTCTGTTTGTCTCAGAACAACAGCTGCTGAAAGAGGAGGCAGCCGCCGCCACAACCGTGCCCTCTTTCTTCGAAGAGGGAACAACCCTGGACCTAACCACAGAGGACCCTACACTATCAACCCTCAACCCCCGAGGTTAGTGTGGTACACACTCTCAAGGACAAGTTCTACAAAAAATAAGACTGTTAACATGTTTTACACGATAGAGAGTGATATGACAATCTGAAACGTTCAGCGGTCATGCGAACACATTTCAAAGCAGAGTTTCACCCAACAGTTTTAGAAAAATCATCAACAATAAAAATCCGCAAATTTCCAAGCTACGTAGTTTCAACCTAATATTATTATATTCCACTGCCCAGTTCACCAAACTGAAGTGGTCACTCAAATATTATAGACACATACAGACTGTACCACTCTAAAGGCAAAAGAACGGAACTAAGATTTTATTTTCTAGGCAAATCTTAAACATCCATGGAAAAATTTCGTAATGTTCGTATTCTGTTACATTGACTGTCGAGAAAACACCATAATCTATATCAAGGATAAGGCACTAAGCGATCATTGGTTCCCTCGTGATTTTACGTGTTGATATACAGGGTGAGCAAAAAAAAACCATGTACAACTTTTTGTTAATATTTTCCCCCACACTGAAGTTTTACGTTTCAAACATATGCACAACATTAATTTTGAAGTTAAAAAGAATTTGTTCTGATATTCATTTTAGATAATCCACAAAATATTTTGCTTTACACAGCGCGTAAAAATGCAACCCATTTTCAACTATGTGCCCATTTTTGTAGCATAACGCACGAGTTCACAATAGGCCAACCACTAAAAGTCTCAACGATTGTGCCATATTGCAAACTGCAGTAGTCTAACAGGCCAAAAGAAGTTTGAAGATCATTTTTCTCAAGTTTCCTTTGCCAGCTGAGATCATGGTTAAGATTAGTAAAGAGGAGAGAGCTTTTTGTATTGAACATTTAGTCACCACCAACTTATTAATTTCGTAAGTTTCGCACATGATGCGGAAATGATGTTAAGTGCCCTGAAGGCCTTCTTTGATATCAAGGGTGGAAATGGCCCATCAGTCAGAACCTGTAGAGAATCAGAACTAAAATTTCCCAGACAAAACGACCACTTCAGGTCAAACACACACCGTTCGCACCCCTTTAAACCTCACCAGGGTGCAGAATTCAGCAGATGAGCCCAATGAAACGTGTATTCATAGACGATGTCGCAGCAATGACTTTCCTACATCTCAACGGTCCGCATTCTCAAGGCAGATCTTCATCTACGACTGTACCATTTCCCGTTCGTGAAGCTATCAGAGGATAGCAACGTATTAGTGATTCCTCGATCGTCTTGAAAAGCGCGAACATTTCCTCTATGACATTTGGTTCCTTGGCAAAACCCATTTTCCCCTTTCAGATTATCAACTCCACAAACGCTGTCTATTTGGGCAACTTCACCCTCCCCCTATTGTCTCTAGAAACAGCTCCATACTGTAAGGTGTAATGTGTGTATGTCTTTGAGTACCCATGGGTGAGTGGATCCTTGTGTTTGGCCACCACTGAATATTATGAACGACGTGTTAAAATGTGCTGAGTCCAAAGGAGGACATATATAGACCATTGGTTCTCTGAATTCGACAATATAAAAAATATTTTTAAAACTCTGTAGGAGAAAAGAATAATTGTTTAATATTACAGGAATAAAAAGATTAGATTTTTAAAAGTAAAAGGAAAGGAAAGAAACAAACCGATCATTTCATGAATTTCCTTATAAGATCTTTTAAACTGGTGCATTTTGCTCTTATATGTGGTTTTTATTTCCGTTTTCGAAAAGTTTTTTTTTGGGTTAATTTTATGTCAAACAAATTCATTTTGAATGAATTATATCTGTTCCAAATTACTACATTCTAGCACAAATTTTGTGTGAGTTATTTTGAAAAAAAGTTGTGCAGTTTTTTTTGTTTGGGTCACCCTGTACAATAAGCCTGACCGTGGACTTGGTTGAAAATGTTTCTAATAAAAGATTTCTCTTTCAATCTGAAACTGTGCAGGTTTATTTTGTGCTTTTTGTACTTTTGAGTTTAAGCAGAGATATTTGTGCCCTTGTTCATTTTTTATCTTTTCTTTTTTTACTATGTAATGCACTTTTCTTTTTTGTAGGTCTGTCAATTGAAATCGTGTCTTTAAACCGTAGAAGCAGTTCATGGCCTTGTTTTACAAATCACGCTAGTCTAGTTTTGCATGCCTGCACGACCTTTATGTTCTTTATTTCAGACGAGTACCTGTTCAGACTCGCATCCGTTGTGGAGTCGTTGGGCTCCAAAATGGACGCCTTCAACGCTTCTATCGGAACCCTGGAGCAAAAGCTTACCAAGCTGGAGACAGGCACGTGTTGATCGTTGTAGACAGGCAGGATACCACTAGGGGTTAGGAATGGTTGGGTGAGGGAAAAAAGGGGGGGAGGAGGTGTTACATAGTTTTACAAAACGTATATACTCAGTTCTACGAACAGCAGATTGACTTGTTAATCTAATCCAGTAGCCTTTGAACAGACCATACGTTTAGCGGATGCATTATTAGTATGGCCACTGATGTGTCTAATATCCGATAAATCAGATTTGTTTTGTTTGTTTATTTTGCGATGTTAGGTTATATTGGGATCATCTGCAGCTTGACACATGAGCTTATGTATGTATCCATATTATATATGTACATAAGCCCAACAAACAAACACATACTTGTATGCTAGATACAGTGACAAAGACAGTTTTAGGTTTAGTAAGGCGCTGGCAACTGTATAAGGTCACATGAGTGCCAGGACAAAGATAGATAGATAGATAGATAGATAGATATCTCGATAGACAGATACACATTTTTATTCTTTGTGGTACGAGTTTTACGGTGCTCGCAACTGCATAAGGTCAAATGAGAGCGAGGAGCACATTAAACATTTTTAGTTTGGTAGGAACTGATTATTAATTTTGCACTGGTGCCGGCCGAAGCCCACTCTTATCGATTTTGGACCACCAAGGGATCTTTAACGAGTGCAACTTGCACGCGGGACCTCCGAGAATTTTCGCTCTTATCCTAGAAGTCTACATTGTAGATCTTACCTACCATAAGATCAGGGGTGTCCCTGAAAGACAGCAGTAAGAAGGAGCCAAGGAGTAGCAGTAGAAAGGCTGCAGAAAGAGTCAGGACCCCAGAGTAGGGGGGAATGAGGTGAGGGAATAAGGGAAGAAACTGGAGACGAAAACAGAAGACAGAACATTGCTAGAGAGCAGTAATGGAGGTGAAAGGAGAAAGGTTTTGAGAAAAAAAGTACGTCGCTGTTGTTCGGATTCGAACACTAGACTTATTGAATGAAAAGCGAACACCGTAACCTTTCCACCACGAGAGCCCCGAAAAATAGACAGATAGATAGATAGATAAATAGATAGATGATAAATAAATAGATAGATAGATTGACAGATAGACAAAGATAGATAGATAGATAGCTCAAGAGCGAGCGAGCGAGCGAGAGAGAGAGAGAGAGAGAGAGAGAGAGAGAGAGAGAGAGAGAGAGAGAGAGACGCAGAGACACAGACAAAGACAGAGAAGGAGAGCAAAAGCAAAAAGAGACATATATGGTAATTGTCTATGTCATCGTCGGCTCAACAGTTTATGGTCTTGAACACAAAGCCTTTCCTTCCACATTCTGAAACAATTTATGTGCATTGGGACCATATTGTAGTAGAGAAGACTAAACACTTAACCAAATGAATATAACTGATTCATGCGAGTCCGACTTTCTTGATATTTCTTTGTTCCTGTTGGTTTATTTTTTCCTTTTATTGGCTTGTTTTTTGCCTTGTGTAGTTTTTCTTGTCTATGCACTCTTTGTTCTGGATGCTGGCCCTTGTCATAATCTTGCACTACGTCTGGTGTTGCCTTCAGCCAGAAAAGTACGTCCCGTGGAGCCTTGTGTTGCTGCTACAGTCGGTATCCCAGAAAGCGCTGTTGACGCTACAGTTCCTGAAGCCCAGACGAGTTCAGACATCCTTTCCACCTCATCAGTTGCCGGCAGAACAAAGATGCCATCTCGTGCAAAAATGACAGCTACCTCCCCCAGTTCTAATGTCCCCGAGACCTCATCTCAAGATGGTGTCTCAGAGTCAGATGCCATTACTTCTCTGCTTGAAACTTCAACTGCTCCTGGCGGGTTTAAAACATTTACCCTTCAGGATTTGCTGGAGAGCACTAATGGAGTTAAAGACACCGTTACCATCCCTCCTACTGAGGCACCAGAAATGTTCAATAGTGCGAGTAGTTTTGGAGCTTCACGTCTTGTCGATTTGCTGGAGACTACACCTAGTGCCACTGAGCCGATTGTTTCAACTATCACCATTAGAACAAAGACATCCACTGGTAGCAGTGAGCAAGAACGCTTCAGGAGTGAAGGTCCAAAGAAGACATCCGTGAAAGCCGGAGTACTAAATACGTACGCTGACGCCATTGAATCAAATATTATAGCTGAGTCTACCTCTAATGCAATTTCTGTCTCCGATGTGCCAAAGTTCTCCACCATTTCTGATTTGCAGGAAACTTCCACTATTTCTGATGTCCCAGAGATTCCCCCCATTTCAGGTGTTTTAGGAACACCCACTGTCTCTGAAGTGCCAGAAAATCCCACTATGTCTGATATGCCAGATATCTCTATTATTTCTGAAGAACCTGTGATCAGTTCTACTTTTGATATGTCAGAAATTCACAAAGTGTCTGGTATGCCAGAGATCCCAGCTATTTCAGACGTGTTAGGAATATCTACTGTTTCTGATGTAATAACAGACCCCACTGTCTTTGATATACAAAACATTCCCATCGTTTCTGATATGCCAGATAACCCCTCTACTACTGATGTGCCAGAAGTTTCCACTGTTTCTAATGGGCAAGAAATTCCCTCCATGTCTCATGAGCTAGAAAATACATATGTTTCTGATGTGCCAGAAATCCCCCTTATAACTAATATGCCAGAAATCTCAACCATTTCTGATATGTCAGAAATTCCCTCTGCTACTGATGTACCAGAGATCACCACCATTTCAGATGCGCCTGAAATCCCCACAATTACTAATGTGCCAGAGATTCCCACTGTTCCTGATGTGCCAGAAATACTCATTATTTCTGAAGCACCTGAGATCAGAGCACTTTCTAAAATGCCAGAAATCCCAACTATTTCTGATATGTCAGACATTCCCTCTGCTACTGATGTACCAGAGATTCCCACCATTTCAGATGCGTTAAGAATCTCACCTATTTCTGATAGGCCAGAGATCCCTGCTATTTCAGAATTTCTAGGAATCCCCACTGTCTCTGATGTGCAAGAAGCCGCCACTATTTCTGATGTACCAGAAATTCCAATTACTTCTAATGTTCCAGAAATCTCCATTATTTCTGAGGCGTCTGAGACCGGTGCTATTTCGAATATTATGCTAGAAATCCCAACCGTTTCTGACATGCTATCAATCCCCTCTGTTACTGATATACCGGAGACCCTTTCTATCTTAGATGTACCAGAAATTCCCTTTGTTTCTGACGTGCCAGAGATCCCTACTATTTCAGATGTATTAAGAATCCCCACAGTTTCCGATGTGCAAAAGTTCTCCACTAGTTCTGGTTTGTCAAGAATCTCTACTGGTTCTGAACTGCAAGAATCCTCTACCGATTCTGATGTACATGTATCAGAAACCTTCCCTAACAATGAAGCTTTTGAAGCTCGGGAAACAGTCACACGTGTTGACCAGACCGCGATCTCTACTGCATCTAGTGTGCTAGACACAGTTACAAATGTGGAGGATACTTTAATTAATGCAAATGTACCAGACAACACTTCTACTCTTCATCAACAGACCAACTTTAGGGAAGAAGTATCAGAGACCTCCCCTGGTCTAAATTATGTGCCGGAGAATACTTCCAGTTCTAAACTGTCCCAGGCCAGTGTACTGAATACTTCTGTTATACATGAAGTGCGAATAACCACTACTGCTGAGAGTGAGAAACGTATGACCACTAATGCTAAAGTATCAGAGAAATATACTACCTCCAATGTTTCAGAGATTTTCACTCCTGCTAAAGTACCAACATCCTCTAATGTTGCCGAAGATCCGGAGAACACCCCCGTTACCAATATCCCACCAGAGCCAACTAGTATATCCAGTTTAATAGAAACATATACCAGTGCTAAAGTACAGCAGGCTTCCACTGGAGTTGACGTTCTACGAGCGCGAACTGGCGCTAATGTTTCAGCGGACTTCAATACCTCCAATGTGGCAAAGTTCAAATCTGGGAATCTCTGACCCATAGAAGTCACGATACAGTTTTGAACTGGCTCCCAATCCCGTACTCGTATAAACGGATGTTAGAAAAAGAAAACGAAAGAAAATAACATAAAAAATAAAAATCTAACAGAAACATATTGGAAAGAGTTATGTTTTCTATGCAAGACCAGAACTGATGATGGTTTTGAGACTGTTCTGTTTTTCTGTCAAAATTCTGTGCTTGAATAATTTTGTAAATCGAAATACGGATCTGCTTAGAAATAACAGATCCACAATGTTCCTTCTGTACAGCTAGCTCCACTTCATGTTGCTTTCGTTCCAACAGTAGATGCCCCTATAGTCTTGTACACGCTGAGTGGCCTCAGGAATTTATAATACCAGCTTTGCCTTTTTCGTGAGGATAACGAACACAATCGAGAGATGAAAAGCGTAATTTTTTTATCTTCATTTTTTGCTTATGCATCTCCCATAGTGAGAGTGAATGCTGCTGTACATGTAAGAGAGTATAACTGGAAATTGATTACGACTTACCACTTTTTTTTAAAATGTAGGAAAAGGAACAACAATCGTAAACATTCCTCGATAACTTGAAAACGTCTTTGGAATTTCCAAATGAATAAAATAGCAATTGAGAAGATGATTATTATGTGTCACGACGTGGTGGAATCAGGAGCTCGTCATTTTTGGGGCGTTTGAGGTTATCGGTATTATCTTAAAACCTGTTCTTTTGCCTTCCGTTTGGTGAAAAAAATATGTATGTTGAATAGAAGTTGAAATATTTGCAATTAAAGAAGGTCAGGATTGCCTGGTTTTAGAGGTAAAATAAGCGAGAAAATGGCCACCAACGTTTGGTGACATCCATAGCCTGAGAGTCCTTGGAAACTGAAAATTAACATTTTTGTGTGCCTTCAATCAATGTTTCCCGGTAAAATTTGAAAACAAAAATTGTTTTTAATGAATATAAAAGGTGTTGAGCAAAAAAAAGAAAAAAAAGAAAAGAAAGAAAACTAGAAAAAATGGGTATCTCCACCCCCCCCCCCCCCCCCCAAGCCGATTTCTTTGATTTTCTTATTTTGATGAGCGCCTGATTTCACCACGATGCCTCACATTATGCATACATGATAAAACCTTAAAGAAAGCAAAACAAAAAGAATAATGATATGCAAAAAACAACAGAAAAACAAAACGTTACAAACAAAAATTACAACAAGCATTGAGTAAACAGTTTGCATCTTGTGAAGAGCACCTCGCCCAACTAAAAATCATCATGATTGTCCGCAAAATTTTTTTGACAATAAGTGTTATTTCCAAAAAGTATGATATTTTTATGTTGATAGAGCTGTACAAAATGGATATTATGCGAACTGACCAAACGCATTTTGTGTCTATATGTAGTTAATAAAGAATTAATATCTAAAATATAAACCTTGAACTTCTGAGTCCTACATGGAATAGAGTTTTCTTGGTATTGCTTATCTGAAAAGTAAATACAAAATAATATAAGAGTACACTAATTTAAACAACTTTCCAAAGACAGAAAATATTAGTTAGGAACGAAAGAAATGTGATTTTTCTTTTTAACCACATACACTTTCGTATTAATCCGTCAAACATATAAAGCAATGCAGTCTTCCAGGACAATAGCAACAAACTGTTTTATTCGTTCACAGCGTCTTCACCGATGATATCTATCACGTTGATTTCATGCAAATCTCTTATTTTCATACTTGTGCTTGTTTTCCACTACTTATATCACGTTTCTCTCTCTAACCAATGATTACAGGGGAATGTTCTTTGCTTTTCATTTCTCCTTTTGGTGAATTTGCTGAGTTGTATCCGGAACAAAATTTACAGCGAATAAGTTCTCAGGCCAGGGTACGCTTAATTAATGTAGAAAGAACCAAAATAACGAGAAAAAAAACTGCTTAAAAAGTCCCCCTCGGCCCAAGTCTCGAAAAGATCATTTGAGAGGGGAGTTTACGAAAAAAAATGACTTTTTGACTCCAATAAACTTTATCACTTTCCCAAAATAATCTTACACGTTTGACTTTCTGACTCAATGACCTTCATCTGAAGTGTTCTAATGTTTTTTGCCTTTTTGCCTTTTGTTGAAAAGAAAGGAAATCGCCCCCCCCCCCTCCCTTTTTTTCCCTCGAAAAAAAAAAACACCCCAGAAAGAAAACGATTACGCGCATCTTTTTTTCGACCACATCTGTGGTTACATTATGCGACACATGGCGCCCAAGTGTAATGTATCACCAATTAAGCAAGCTGACGTTTTCTGTAGGCGCTGACAGGCCTTTTATGAGCCCATGCACAGCTTATATTTTATTTGCCCATTTGGCGTAGTTACGTTTTGTATAATAAATATTGGCTTGAATTGAAATATTGCACAATATACGAAATTTTAACAATGAATTTCAATGATTATCATTTATGGTTTTATTTCAGTCATTCAGAAGATTTCATTCACTCTTCTATTTTTCTTTTCCCACAGAGCCAGAAATTCAAAATGCGACAGTGGCAGAAGGTATGTTTTTTTCAAATATTTCACTATTTACCGTCCTATATTTTTCTCTCTTCAGACCAGTGAAGCAATGGAACATTAATAATATGCTATGTTCATGTCGCTACAATACTTTGATAGTCATTAGAGCCAGTATCTCAACATGCCCTCTCTCCAGAGTCGAGATACGTTTGAGAACGCACAGTAGGGGACACATTCTTCTCCGAGTGCCAACAGAATAGCATTTTAAAACATCTCAGATAAAAAAAAATATACTACTACTACTACTACTACTACTACTACTACTACTACTACTACTACTACTACTCTAGGCGCTTTACAACTTTTACTACTCCAGGAGAGGGTACACATGCAGCACAAGCAGCCAATATCGCACTCAAACTGTAACAAAGTAACAAGAGCTTTCGATGCCTATGGCTGGGTACCCATTCCCACCTGGGTGAAGTGGCCTTCCCAAGGACCAAAGGTCAAGCCCCCGATGAGGCCCCCAAAGGGATTCGAACCCACGACGTTTTGGTTGCAATTCATCAGCCTAATCACTTAAGCATAGGTGCGACCAAAACTAGTTGTGCACCAAAAGTATCGTTTCATAGTATGAGACATTCGAAATCGCTCATAGTTGGGTTTTTTTTGTATTTGCTCGTGACATTTTCATCTTACCCAAACTTTTCCCTACTCAACTCCAATTTATCCGCTGTCTGCGTCAGCAATATGCCCTCCCCTCACCGCTTTCCATCTTTACCTGCCTGACTGGCCCCAGGAAGATTATTAATAAAAGCAGTTTTCTTGTTTGAGGCAACACTCTAAATATAAAAACCGGTTCCAATAAATATTCCAAAACCAATAAGACCGTCATGAGCAGAGCCAAATCGTCTTTACTGGTCGAGAACGAAAAAATTCCAAAGGTCATTTTTTGACGTGTCTTAACAATACCCAGGCGAAGCACTGAAATCCTTAATAAAAAGCTTACTTCTCCATAATGATCACATATTATTACTGTCATCTGAACGCTTTCACTTTCTTATTATCCACAGATGGCCCCGACCACATCATCAATTTCTTCTTCCTCGGGAACTCCACCTACTTCCTCATTACCCGAGAGAACAGACCCTACAGCACCTACTATGCCCAGGTCTGTTGGTCATCTTTCGATTTGCTTGTTCATTTTTTGTGTTAGTTTAATGAAAGAAAGAAACAAGAAAACATGCGGAGTTTAATAAGATTATGTATTTTAATCAAACGATTCTTGCTGTAACAATTGTGCCACCTAAAAAAAACGAGTTTATTGAGAAAAAAACCAACAGTAGACAGGTATCATAATTTCTTTTTTTTGTTGTTGCAAAATCATCTGCTTCTCTGAAATTAGTGAAAGCAAGGTAAATGTTTGGGTTTTTTTTATTATCTATTTTTAAAAAACCTTTTTATCTCTACGTTCCTTCCTCTCAAACGGAATTTAAATACATCTCAACATCCCTTTCCACCTCGGGTTGTATCAGGACATTCAGCTTGGTCCTCAATTTGTACATCTTAAAAGCTTGTAGAATGGAAACCTGCGAGTTTTATTTTCACAGTTCATATGGCAGTTTTTGTAAAAGAATAGATCCATGTATTTAGATTCCTTGTTCCCACCTTGATATGTTTGTATCACGGGCTAATCCCTGTATCCGTAGGCTACATGTGAGAAGGAGAACCTTGCGCTTGTGGAGATACAGAATCAAGATGAGTTGAATGGAATCGAAGAGAACATTGGTAAGTTCCAAGTAGACTTGCACAGTTTTTAGTAGGAACACGTTGGCCACTTTTACATTGTAATGATTGTGAAAGTGCAAGACAAAATCACAAAATTCATTTAGAGAGTAGGCTCTTTCGACTGTACCTTACAAGACCAACCTGTGTGGGATGCTGATTCAAGCCGACAGAGGGACTTTCTCAATAAAATGTCTTCTCCAAGCAGGTAACTGAACTTCTTCCTCTGATACCTAAAGCGAGGAGTTAACTAGTTACACCATCGGTGCTGAATTTTGTATACTTTAAAGAGACGAAGCGACCCCCAACAGTAGAGCTGCTCACAATACTCCTTCAGTGGTGTCTGCCTGACTGTAACTCCCAGGGGAAGCAAGCCTCGGTTGCTCTTAAGCGGAGGTAGCTGCTAACTGAACTTTTCAAAAGTTTTCAAAGGGAATGGTCTTAATCACTCTCCGCCCCACTCCCTCTTTCTCTTTTGCTTTCTTTATCATCTCTTATTTCTTTCCTTCTTTGACATTCTTCTATTTGCTGAAAGAACTTTTGCCTTCAAAGTGACCTACTTATGTACAATAAGGGAGTTTATCTGGCTTAATTAAAAGGAAGCTTAGAGGTTCAACTACAACTACAACCATGTTAAGGCTAAGAAAAAGCAGGAGCAGGACAAGGCTACTATAGGGATAATGAAGAAGTAGGACAGATCAGTAATTTTCTACTACTAACAACCATCAGACCGTTATTCGAAAATTGACAAAATCCCCCCCCCTCCCCCGCCCCAAAACACCTTCCATAAGTAAAACAAAAGCAGCTCATGCACAAACAGAAATCTCAAAACAAGCGAACGAAACCCAGATCACTTTTCGCATTTCACCCCTGATTAATCCTGATCTCGCTTCTTTGTCAGCTCCCCTTGTAAAGGACAATGGACTCGTCCTTGTGAGTGGTCGCAGGAGCGCCGGACGCACCGACTGGTTCTGGCAGGGGACCGGGGACGAGGTAGATACTATCTTTTATATATTATATTATTTATTGCAAGCGTTCAACACACCCATCAACATAACTTGGACTCTAAATGCTTCTTTCTTTTAACAATTTTAACAACTTTATTCAATTTTTGTTGTTTGCTTTTTTCGACATTTAAAATTTGAATTTTAACAAAATATTTCTTGGGCCCAAGCAACCGATATCGCAATTTATAAGCAAATCAAAATTTTGAGCGTAGACCATTTGAACAACTGGCCGACTAAAGCAAAGTCATCTAGCAGCAGGTTACTGCAACCCAGCATTTCAGGGCTGCGTGAGATACGACATGCTGGCACTGAGACCGATAAACGAAATGGAATGATTTTACCATGTAATAAATCAAACTCATGCCTATTGCAAGCAATGATTATTGCTTGATCCGTACAAAAATGATATTAGTTTTTATAAAATGCTTTGTGAATAACGGCGATCAAAGCATTGCGTTTTCATGAATATATAAAAAAAAAAAAATAGAAATTGAGTAACACGCTCATGACAATTTAAAATATCCCTGCTAAAATATTAGAGTATTCATTGTTGAATTTCTCCCCACAGTCGGTCCCAGGGAAATGTATTTCTTCTATGCTTAAGAAATCATTCATCTCTTCCCATCCCACGTTGTCTCTTTTCATTTTGTATCTCCTCTTTTCATCTCATTTCATTTTTTCTTATGTATTTCCTTAGCAGCCCGTCTCCTCTTGCCTCATCTTATGCAATAATATTATGTCATCTTTAGTTCTTCTGATGTAATATCAATTATAGTTACATGTTCCTATCTTGCCTCATCTTATATTTTCTCTCATGTCTTTATACTGCTACCCCCGCCCCTTCTCTCGTTCTATTTATCTCCCGTTCTCTCTCTCTCTCTCTCTCTCTCTCTCTCTCTCTCTCTCTCTCTCTCCCCCCTCTCTCTCTTTCTCTCTATTTTTTTCTCTCTCTCTACCCTCCTCTCTCTCCTCTCTGTTTTTCTTTCTCTCTCTACCTAACAAAAGAAAGACAAATTATGTCTTTGTTTTCCAAAATTTGACCCAGGTAACTTTCTTCAACTGGGCAACCACGGAGCCAGCTGAGGAAAATGGCGCACGTTGCTTGGCCTTGACCAAAACTCCAAGTCTGAAGATGACCGCGGTCAATTGCGGCACATCCGTGCCAAACACCTACTTCTTGTGCGAGGACCAGAACTGATAGGATCAGAGACCGGCCAATCACAGATCGAAGCATTTTATTCTTAAACGCGTAGTCATGTCTACTTTCCCCATAGTATGCTCAAGTGTGAAAGTATTTAATAATATCCTGTAAAGCAAGACGTCTTTTACACATTTTTATTATGTTTACAGAAAAAACAACTAAACGTAAATACATGTAGTACCTAATTATGTTCTTGGGTTCATCATTTTTTAATATAACAATTTGGGCATTTTGTTTCATATTCTCATATTTTTTGGGGATCATATTCATTATTCATGAGCTGATCGCAGAAGCAAACTACACAGACTGACATCATAGCGCTGAAAATAAATTCCACTGTGAAGTCAAAATACGCAGCTGGTTGGTTGAGAACCATTGATGTGTACATGTTATAATAAACTAAAAACGTTCAGAGAGTTATTCAAACGTTTGTATATTATGTTATGATAAATTACAGACATTCAGAGGCTATTGAAATATCTGTACATATTATAATAAACTAAAGACATTAGGAGATTATTCATGTATCTGTACAAGCAATAAATGATAGACAAAAGACTAAAATCATCAGTTTTTTTATACTTAACATTGCCTTTACAAAGTTTTCGTTATTGTGGAAGTTTATTGGCCAACCACACACAATGTGGGTCGTGTATAGAACTGTTTGTTTGCTTGTTTCTTTTGTTTGTGTGTTTGTTTGTATGTTTGTTTGTGTGTTTTTTTGTTTCTTTGTTTGAGTAAATGAAAAACATCGACACAATAAAGGCCATTTAGTGCTTGGAAAAATCAAGACAGCAGACAGAAAGAACAGAGGAAAATCAAAGAAGAAAGACCTACCAATGGTGCCATCCAACCACCCGCGAACTGATTGTGATTATAAATCGCTACCTCAGAATCATAAAGTTCTATCTGCACAGTATCTAGTTTTGAGAAAATGGAAGTTGAAAATGTTGAGTTTCACAACATGGTCAAGCTTTTTCGAAAGCATCAATATTCTAAATTATTCAAGTAACATGATGCAAAATGAGTTGTAGAAGGTGGTTTTTAAGTCATTTTGACATTGATTCTTTCCAGATCTAGAGTATTCCGTTAGCACTTTTTCACCAAAGACATAATAAATTAAAAGACTTTAAGATGGTAGCAATAACTTTAAAAGACCCAATACTGACGAGTGCTTGATTAATACGTATCGTGACGCAATTTTCCTCTCACAGATAGAACTTTGTAATTCCGAAAAGATATTCCGGTATTCAGATAGAACAATGTAAGTCTGCGGTATCTTGGTAATAACATCCGAATTTCCTTACAATTTTTGTAGAACAGACATAAAGTTTGGTTTCTGACCTCCGGGTCCTAAAAACTCAAAACAACCAAAAATGTCAGATAGAATCTTATAATTCTGAGGGAGCGAAATGTAAAGGAATTTGCTCTGCCATCCAGTCAGTTTAGATGGTTTAGGAGCGGACAGCTTCAACTCTGCCAACCAAAAGTAACCTGGGCTGAGTCAGAAACAGTATACCATTACTCCCACAGAGATACTGCAATAAGATAAACTTCCCAACTTGGAAATCGAACTCATGTCTTCTGTGCGCAACGGCTAAGAGGGCTCTAACCCGTGCGACTCAGGCGCCTGTACAGATACTAACCGGAACTTCTACGTGTTTGAGTCAGCATTGAATTCAACAGTCTCACTCACAAAGTATTTTAATTAGTTAGTGTCTGTACATCCAGGACAAATTTGGATTGAATTCCGGACAGTTCGTAGTTTTTTTCGGAATTCATTGTTCGTATTAGATACTCCTCCTGTTAGGTTCTTGAGCGAAATGCACAGTATTTGCCACAACACTTAATGGTTGCTCAAATAAAGATTGTACTGTGTGTTCACGATAAATCATGCATTAACAAACATTTAGGGTAGACCAAACAAAAATAAAGCAACTGAAGCAGAAACTAATAAGAAACACAAACACGCAAAAACGTCTAGAGATACAACCCTGTCGTTAGAATATCTGGCAAAAAATATTCGTCTTGAAGTTTTTCTGCAATTTGTCTTCCAAAATAAGACCACACAGTTGATAACATGCGTCCGACATGTTTTTTGTATCAGTGAACAAGTTCGGGTTTTTGCTAGAGGTGGGAAAAATCCGGATAAACTATCCGTTAATCGGATAATTCTCAATGAAACATTAACCGAATTCAGACTCTTAACTCTCTTTCCTGACCCGTTTGCCGAAGTGAGTGCACCCAATTGTTGAAGTGATACCAATACCCGTTTGTCGAAGGGATTCTAACCCATTCGCCGAAGCGGTTCAAAACATATTATTTGCCGAAGAGGTGAATTAACATATAATCGGATTTTGCTAAAGCGACTCATTGCCCAGCCCTAGTTTTTTGCCGTGACGCAATTCGACTTAATTTTTTTAGAGCGTACCAAACCTCATTTTATTTTGCTAGAGACTGTTTCCTGTTATAGGGGTGTAATAAAATTTATAATTAAGGTGTCGACTTGACTATTCTGAGGCATGTTGAATAAAATTGAAAGCAGGTAGCTTCAAACGCTTATAGCTCATATCCTAAAAGGTCAATCAAAATGGGATGGATATGGATAGATTGGGCTTTCCCAGAGGATTCTAGTGGCATTCAAAGCTTTAACAGTTTAGCTAAATGTGACTTAGTCTAGGTATCGAACTAGGCCATTCAACTGTTCAACCAACGATATAAACGTGGGGATATCGATTTTTTTCTTTTTACTTTACAGTTTAACTCCGAACTTCGACTACTCGCACTGACAAGCAACCTGGGAAAACAACCACCTTCGTGTGGGTCTTGCGGTTTTTTGGAAAAAGAAAATAATCTATTTTTCCAAGAAAAGGAGTAGCTAAACCCTAAAAATGACGCTTCTGGGCGCATGGAATTGAAGCACTTATTAGTCTGGTATTCTGTTTACTTCTGCAAAATGACACAAAACGACGAATAAAGAAGTCGTTGTGACAAAGCAATAACGCCATCGTTAACGAAAATAAAAATGCCAGTTTCTACCTGAGACATTTTTTTTTTTGGAACATAATAAGCAAGCTTTCAAATAGATTTATTTTAAAAAATGAAAACAAAGCTGTCCTAAAATGAAATCATGTATTAAGCGCTTTAAACAGTAGGAAACGTTCAGAAAATTTAATACTAAATCAGTGCGGATACTGACCACATCACTAACAGTGTAAAACAATGCATTTAGCAGCAGGACGACATCCAGACAGAATAATGTCGCAGCCCCGACCTCGCTGTCCTTTCCTTCCCCTCTCTAGAAATCTTTGATGCTTCCACAGTCCTGACAAAAACCGAAGCTTTTACAAAAGTACATATTTTTTTAATGAAGCAAATAGTGCTATTAAGGAGCTTTGTTTAGTCCCATATGACAGGAGCCTCGCACAAGAATCCATGTTTAGCTTGGCATGATTCTTCATAGAATTCTCCATTCTCGATGACAGCACAGTGTTCAGGCGGATCAGGCATAGGTCCGGCAGCAAACTGACCTAACCCAACATCTTCTCCAGTGATCCACTTCCATTTTCCAGACACTGGATCTCGCTCTATACCTGGTGGGTAGATTTAAAAAAAACATTTCGGCTTCAACTTGCTGCAGAAGATGGTATCTACCACTGAAGATTCAGGCTTCTAACATCTTTTTATGTTTTAAGATGTAATAAGCATTTTTATTTGCATTCACTTAATCAGTAGTATCGGTTAAATGCAATATATATTTTTGGTTGGGAATTTAGATTCTAATTATTGTTGTAAAAATAATATTTAAAAAATTTAGGTGCAATATTATTAAAAGAATGAGACGTTTATTTTCTCCGCTGTAAAACTTTGCTTTACGGGCTTTGTACATTTTAGC